TTAGGTTGAGACCCAAAAAGGGTTATTTCATAAAAATTTATGTTATATAATTCCATTAATTTAAATTTAAATTATTCTATTTTGGGATAAAAGTAAAGGAGATAGGGTTTCACCAATGGGCTGTTGACAAAGAAGCAAGGTATAGACATTCCAATCGTCCAGCTTTGCTGCAAATTTTGATGTGATTGTGACCTTCGTGAAAGCGACTTCTTTGATGCATCAAGGGACCTACCTCACATGCCTCCACCAATAACTTGCACAAAAAGAGAAATTGAAATGGGCCCCACTCTAAGATGTGGGGACCACTACTTTTGGTGGTACCACAGCTATGATTCTCTATTTTCTACTCTCTACTAATAAAGTAGTATTGACGTGTGTTCACCTTAAATTAAAAAATATTTCTTTAAAATATTGAAATAAAATAATTTTTATATTTTCGTAATAATATTTAGAAGAAAGACTTTGATAACATTATTCTTCTCAATTGTTGAAACACTGTCGGGTGTATGTCTCTTTATTTTGGGTAATATTTTTAAAATTTTATTCAAAATATATATTTATTTTTCTTTTTTAAAAATCTAATTATATTATATTTAATTATTTTTAAATTTTTTAAATTTATTAATTTAACTAAACACTTCCAACAAAAAAAAAAAAAGTTTAGAAATTGATAAAAACACTGTAATCCAACTCAATTTTTTCAACAAAGTCCAGAAATTGACAAAAAATTTTAATGTGTGAGTAGATATATTTTTGTTAATTTTTAATATTTTATTATAACAGTGTTTAGTAAATTAATAAACCTAAAATGATGTTTCTGTTAATTTTTAAATTTTATATTGTAATAATTATTCAACTTAATTTTTTTTTAAAATCCTACCTAAAATAATAAATAAATCATAATTTTAAATTTAAAAAAGATAATCTATATTCACAAGCAAGATAACGTGTTAGAGATATATCCATGCTCTTTCAAAAAGGAAGAAAAGAAAACAAATAGACGGTGATTCTACTGTGCTCCCTAGAAGAGAGGCTAGACTAGATTGGTTGAATAGTGAAAGGGGAGGGACCATTTCTCCATTGTTCTCCTTTACTTAAACTATTGAACTAGGAATTGAAAAGTGAACCACCTTGTATAAAAAGTAGTACCTCATTGTTTCTAGAACCTAATTTAAAATCAGCCTCTTCCACACTTGTTAAATTTCAATTTGAATTAACTTAATAACAAAGCATGAACATTATTTCTTTAAACATATTTGTGTAATTAAAAGATTATGCACGTGATATATAACCAGCAATTACCATAGTTTAGTGTAATTAGCATGGTTGTTACTACCCAACTCTACAAATATCCAACGAGCGACCCTTTTTCTATTTTTTTTTTTTTTTCAAAAATTGAATTGGTAGTAAAATCTCTTTATAATCATAATGATGGGATCAAACTGATTTATTACTATAAGGAAATTATAACTTAATAAAGTTGTAGTTACAAAAATTATTGTTTTGATTTCTTATTTTATAATTCACATTTTAGTAATATGTATTAGGATTTCAATTCATTATTTCAGTAGTATTAGAATTTCTTATTTACTTTTAATATTACTATATTTTTTATTTTATTATTCATGTTTTAAATAAATATTTTATTTAATCTTAAACTAATATAACATATATTTTTTTGTAATATACAGATAATTATTACTATATAGAGACAACTTTCTTAAGAAGAGAATTAAAAAAATGATAGCTTACATAATACGGAGTTTATTCTTATTTATTACTATTCTAAATTGGGACTATAATTTTTTGTGACTACATAAATGTTATTTATATATAGAGAATTACTATAGAGATGTTTTATTATTAATTTTTAACTTAATTTGTTGTAATCATTTTCCAATAAATGATATTGAAAGTTGCTGATTAAAAATAAAAAATATTAAGGATTTATTTCATATGCTTTTTATGGGACTATTTAATATAAGTGTATTCAAGCTTTTCGAAAATTATAAAAAATAATTTTTTTGTGATTATTGTTGATACGAAAGCTCATACCAACCAGAGAGATCCGATTGATTTTGACAAAATCAGAACCTTTATTGTAAACCAATAATGCAATGTAAATATGCGGTAAAGTTAATAAAACAAGTGAAATTTTAAAGGAGTTTGACAAGTCAGAACTTAAACTTACGTCCGTTGTTCTCTTATTGCTTTTGGACAGCTTACAAGAGAAATAAATTGAATGCCCGGAACAAATTGCTAACTCCTCTTTCATAGTTTGAGGGGGTATTTATATAAGTTTTAGTAAAAGAAAAGAGAGATAAGTTTGGAATTGCGATCAAATTTTGTATGCAATCTCATGATCTTCATGATTGAGCGTTGAGATTATGCTGCCAACGGTGTTGATCTTATCTCTTCCGAAATACTTGAGATTGAAACTTATCCTTGGTCTGTCGAATAACTATTAGGATTGGTCGCTATGACAAACTTCAATTGGATCAAACTTACTCTAGATCGTATAAATTTTGGGTCGAACTTGTTTTAGGTCATATTTGATTCTGGGTTGAACTACAACTTTGCGAACTTCTGCGATTTACGAGCTTTCTAACACACAACCATTATTATTTTATACTTAGATTAGTAAAAATCCTCCCAGGTGCTTTCAACAATTATAAAAGGATTTATAATAGTTTTCGAAGACTTTAGAGGTACTTAAGATTAAACGACCCTACAAAAATATGTAAAAGAAACCCTAAATTACTATGTAATTGAAATAATTAATTAAAAGGATAGAAGGAGAGAGATTTGATGATGTAAAAAGAGGTGATCAGAGTAGTGAGATATGATGATACATATTTGCAGGGGATCGAGGGACAGAGGCCCCATCACCGTACACGTGGTGATTATAAAGTGAACAGAGTACGAAGGCACAATAAAAAAAATACGTCAGACGATGATCAATAAAAACCAGGCCCCATGTGCCCTCCTGTATTTCCCATCAGTATAAGCGGTTATTCCGCTTATTGCCAAAACCATACATTTATTTAAATAAAAAAATATATTAAAAAAAAAGCTGATTTGCTTTTTGAAGAAGCGATTTAATGGAATTCGGAGTACGTGGGAGCAGGTTCACATGATGAAATAGTCTTCTCTTTTGGGGTTTAATTGTAATTAGTAGTAATTAATAAAGTGAAAGATGAAGCTGCGGCTCCAAACAGACACGTGTATATTTTGGTATCCAATCATGTGGCGTGTCTTTTTAGATACTCCTTTAATCGTCTTTTCTCTTGTCTTTTTCTTTTCGGCATTTCATCGAAATTTGTTACATGAAATCAAATTATTATTTACTAAAATATATTTATAAGTTTTTTGAAATATTTTTAATTTGTTTGGAAATATTATTTATTTAAACAAATGTTTTTCCAAAACAAAACATTTCTTTTCACGGAAAGCAAATGTCTTTGGAAATTCAATCATTTCGATTCACCTTTTCTTAATCAACCCATCTTATTTTTCAAACTTACTGTTTTCTTTTTCAAATTCATCATCACATTAACTCAATATTTTTTTTTAAAAAATATCTAAATTTCAGACATGTTGTCTAAATAATGCTTAATTCCAAAGTTTTATACACTACTTGAAAAAAAAAAAAAAAAATTGGAGATTAAAGAGGCATTTATTATATATCTGATAATTAATGTGATTGATAGCTAGATTGATCAAAATGTCTGTGATTAATTGATGGTTTTCGATTTCTTATAAATGTTATATTATAAGTATTATCAAGCTTGCTTTTACAAATCATAGACATCTTTTTGAAAGACAAAATTTTTAAATATCTTAAAACTTTAAATTTTGAATATAAATGCCTTAATTTTGTCATGACTATATTTAAATACCATTGAACTCATCTTTAAATATCATTTCAATACAATGATTATAAACTAGTTGTAATAGATAATAACAATAACGAATAATAGATAAATAAATATGATTTTATTTCATTAGTAAGTGTAATAAGTGAAATTTAAAAAAAAAATTCTTTTATTTCATTGGTTTTTACCATTAAAATGAACATAAACTTATTATTAGTTTTAAGTACTAAATTTAAACTACCAATAAATTTATTAATATGAAAATTTAACTTTTTTATTTTATTTTTAATATTAAGAAATATAATAACAATTTCCGAGGTAAAGAGGAATATGAGGACCAATAGCATTTCCATACAACTATGGACAGTGTATTAATTGTATATATCAAAATATGAATTATGATTTGACAATTAAATTTATAAACATTAACATCCATTTTCAATTTGCTAGGCTATCACTACTATATAATAGTAAACAAAATAGATTATTTTTGTTGATCATACAAAATTTTATCATTATTTTTGTGATTGATATATTTCTTTTTATTATTTAGGATAAGGCCAACTTAAATGTCAATGTTGAAATGTTTTTTTTTTTTTGAATTAAATTTTTAATCTTTTAACTTGATGTAAACATATACCCCTTAGAAAATTTGAAATATGCATACTCAACCATATGTGATATGTAAACTCATATATTAATTACATTCAATTGTAAATCATTTTTATCATATCTTTGCTTATAAGTCATCACTGATTTTTTATTTATTTATTTTAATTATATAACTTAAACCTAATTTTTTTATTTTTTTTTGATTAATTGAAGTGTTTGGACAGTTTAATCGTACTTCAACTAATCTTTAAGAAAAGCTATCTCACAGTAAACCTAAAAATTTTCATTTACCTTCTCTTATAACTTATGAATTTAAAAAATGGAACATTTATTAGCGTTTTCCTAATTAAAATATATAAACTTGAAAACAATTTGAATTTTTGTCAGGAATTCATTTTTGCCGAGCTTGAAAAGGGAAAATAAAGATGTTGTTCATCATAAGTGATAACCCAGGTTTAGCAAAAGAAAAAGAAGCTGAGAAACATAGATGCATAAAACAAAAGAGAAAGTAACTAGAAAATGATTATTTCTCCATTAACCCGGTGGGTTTGAAAATATTTTCAATCTTTTTCATCTTCTTTTTTTTTTTTACAACAAAAGAGCCTCTTTCAATTACGACCTAATCATTCCCACACTCCTCTCTGAATAATCCTCTCCTTTCAATTACGACCTAATCATTCCCACACTCCTCTCTGAATAATCCTCTCATCCATCTCCCACGTGAACCTTCTTCCCCTTCTTCATCTTCATCTTCCTCATCATCACCTCTCTTCTCTTTTGTCTCTTCTTCTTCATAATAATATTCATTATCCTCCTTCATTCCTTTTTCCACTTATGCAATACCTTCTTACCTTCTTTTCTTAGATCATTCAAATCATACATACTTTTTTTTTTACTTCTATTCTAGCTTTATATGTCTAGCTCAGTACAGCACCATTGAAGAGTTGGAGGTTGGTCATCGCAGAAGAAATTACAGGCGTCCTCTGCAAAGAAATTGTGCTCTTCCATTTTCACAAACTGAGTTTGATAAGTTGGTGCTTTTGAAAACTGGAAGCAAGATAGTGATTTTAATGAAGAAGATGCCGGAGACATCAAGAGACTGTGCTGCTGGTTTTGAAGGATCCCAGATGAGGAAATGGCCGCGTTTGGGCTATTATCTTCGTTCAAGATTGCACTTGAGTCACTGTCTGATGACCCGTCTTTGAAGTCCGGGAAGATTGAAGCCACTCCTCCATATTTGAGAACTTCTTGATCAGTCTCAGACACAGCCAGTGAAGAAGTTATCACCGGAGGCGGTGGCTTACTTTCTTCAACAAGTGTTTTGTTTTCAGTTTCAGGCACAATTATTTCTTCTTTCACAGAAAGATTATTGCTTTCACTGTTTTCTTCATTCAGCTTTGATTTCAGTTCTCTTATCTGCAACATACATATAAATATAAACTCAGAAAGATGAAAAAGAACTCTTTCTCTAGCTAGGTAGAAACTTGGGCACATTGACCAATGATTTATTAAGTACAGATTTTACCTCTTTGAGTAAAGCTTCATTGTCGTGTTGGAGAGCATCATAATTGAGCTTAAGAGCATCATAGTTGGCTTTAAGAACGCCATAATCTCGTTCTAATTGCTTTGTTTTCCAGCGAGCTCGACGGTTTTGGAACCAAACAGCAACTTGTCTCGGTTGCAACCCAAGTTCTTGAGCAAGTTTAACTTTTCTTTCAGGTTCAAGCTTGTTTTCAACCTCGAAATTTTTCTCCAAGGCCTTAACTTGATCTACGCTTAATCTTCTCTTCTTCTCTGTGATGTGAACCCCGCCTTCGTCTATGCAACCTTCTTCATCTAAACCATCCAACATGGACTGAAATTCTCTGCTGTAAACATGATTGGTTCTTGGACTGTGGTCATCTGAACCAATGAAAACAAACAAACATGAAAGAATCAGTACTACTACTGGATCAATCAATCTTGAAATAGAAAAAGAACCGAGAAAGGAAAACTGATTACTTTTGAGTCCACTTCTCAAAAGTTATTGTTAGAGAAGACTATTTTAAAGTGATTGATCATCAAAGTAAAAATATATATACATATATCTGAATCTTTGAAATGAATAAATATGAATTAGAATTGAATAAATTAAAGTTAAGTTAATGGGATTCTCTATAACCACCTGTTGTTGGGCAGATTGACATCAAAGCACCCAAGGAATCTGAGCTGCCAAGTGATCTCTTCATGACTGAAGTAGTGAAACAAAAACTGTTCAACAGATGGATCAAAACCTCTTTTAGGTCTTTGTTTAGTGTTGTTTGTGTGTGTGTTTAGAATTTTTCAGTGGATCTTTAAGAGCTCAAGCAGTGTTTAGAGCAAGATTTTCTTTTTCACTTATACAAACAACTGACATGTTTAAAACTAGACCACCTTTTACAGTTGTTTTGTATACTAGAATTGTACCACAACAACAACTCTCTCTTAGCTTCCCCATACTTCTTCTCCTTTTTCACAACCTCTTCTCCCTCTGAACCCATGCAAAAATCAAAACTATTTATTTAACAAAACCCAAAACACACACAAAGAAAACAATAAAATCAAATCCAAACCCACAAGAGAAGTAAACCCACTATTTCTCTATTCACATCATTACTCAATTCAATAGTCTATAGACTGTTTATCTACAAACAAAAATAAATATGAGAGAAATATTAAGAGGAGAAGAGAGATTGATGAACCAGTTTCACAACACAGCTGGCCTTGGCCTTGCTCTCTCTTTAAATAAAACAACTTGGGTCAGGTTTAGGGTTAGAATCTGACTGGGGTTAGGTACACTGCAGTTTGTTTGCCCAAATGAAATTACCCCAAAATTCAATTCAAATGCAATTTTTTGATTACCGGCTGTACCCAGTCACCTTCTGGTTTTTGAGACGAGACTGTGCGATATGAACGTTGAACCAAGAAATTGGTAAGGGCTCATACGGCTCCGCTTTAGAGGCTCGGCTCCGCTAAAGCTCACGAAGATTTTGCTGGCGTCACCATATCATGCCTCTCACTACGCCCTGGTCGGTGCGATTAATCGCCGATTTAATAAATATTTTTTAAGGTGAATTTGCTAAGATTTTACGAAATTATTTTCATAAAGTAAATTTAAAACAATAAAAATATTTTAAATTTTAAAGAATGAAACATATGATAGAAATAATATTCTTGATAACATATTTATGGCTTTTATCAATTACTACCTATGTTTTTCTTTTATTTATTCTTTAAATTGATACAGTTTTGTTAAATTTGTGAGTGAAATAAACTATATATTTTATCTACATAATTAATATTTGCTATAGATAAAATAAGACAACCACCAAGCACTCCTTAAGTTAAAAAAATGAAATCACTTATCTTATTTCATATGTTATTATAATCCTTCAAGAGGTTAATTATGGAGGTAAAGTAGTCATTTCACCTACTGGTCTTAGCATATATTTGATGATTTTCTTAGATCTAAGCGGTTGATTGATTAAAAAATGTGTAGTTTCTGCAAACTTGGCAAATGAAAATGAAATTAATTGATAAATCTCCTTAGATTGTGGAAACACATATTTATAATTAAACATTATAATAAAACTTAAAAATATTCAAACTTTGATAATTTAGCAATCTGTGTTCTTCACTGTTGTATAAAAATTTTGTTTTGTATTTATAGTATTCAAGAACAAATTTTGTAACAATTTCTCAAATATTCTCATTAAAGCTTTTTTTTTTTTTCACAATTATGTCCATAAAGTTAAAATCTCAACTTTGGATCCCAAGTATTAATACCATATTAATTAGAGTATTATCATTTAATAGCTATAAGCAATAAGATAAAAGATCTCCAGCAAGCATGCTTATGAATTAAGAAACATTTATAACTATACAAACTGTATCATTTACATTTTCATACAAATTTTGGTATAAAATCTGTTAAATCAACTTGTATGATCTGGTTTGGCGGTTGCTCGATCTGTTACATATCGAATTACCTCCAAATTTTAGATTCTTTTTTCTTTTTACGATGAAGCAAGCATGAACCTCGGTTTTCTATGTGGTGGTGGGAGTTCGGGTTCCTATGATTAAGTTTTTGGAGCAAAATTGGCTTAAATGTTTAGAAGATTTCCTAAATTTCTGGTTCCTTAATGTACAGTCTATATTTAAGATGAGTAATTTCTTATTAAAAAGTAATTTTTGATCTTCCAAACTATATTATAATAGTAGATACACAAATTAATTAATAAGGTATAGTATGTGAGAAAATTAGTAAACAAATATATCCTTTATTTCTTAATTTCTTAATGTTACATATTGTCTTGTGAAAATAGTGCCACCAATTAAAAGGTCGTCGTTTGTCTCTTGTTATGATTGTTTGTTTCATTGTGTTGTTTAATGTTAATTACCCTTCCTTTATGTTATATTTATGTTCGTATTATATATTCAATATATTGTTTGATTAACATTTTTTTTTTTTTTTTGATAAAGGGATTTATGGCGTTACAAATTAGTAGGGCATGTGATTGTGAAATTTGTCAACAACCAATTTCTAAGTTAGCATAAATGGTGTACGTTAAAACACAACAAACACCTTTTGTAGATCAATAACATTTTTTGCATTTAATATCAAAAATAAAATTTATCCGTATGTTTGAATGTGTGACAATATATAGAAAATATATGATACAAGATTAAGCTTCGTCAATCGTCACTGTACCAATTGCACAACCCCGCAGCCTACTTTGACTTCAAAAGTTTGGAGTTAGAAAGATATTACATTGAGATTTACAACAGTGTCTGTTTTCTTGATTGTGAAGATGCATTCTGTTCAGATTTTTGTTATTTTGTACTTATTTATTACATATTGCAGTTAGTTAATTAAACATCATACACAGTTGAATAGAAAATTAGCGAGTTTGTATCGATCACCTACAGTTTCTTCTTATTATTTCTCTATATATTTCCGTTTTATATGTGTTCTTATTGCTCTAAGGTTCTGTCCTTTATATACAGGATGAAATAAGTTCATTCCTCCTTGTTTTCTTGTATTGTTGATAGGGCATCTCCAACCTAACCCCATTTTGGTGTAAATGGTGTAGAAAATGTACTCCAATCTAACACCAAAAATTACACCAAATTGGTGTAAATAGACAGCCAAATTTGATGTAATACTATTCATCAACACCAATTTGGTGTGGTACTATTCATCTACTATAAAATATATTTTATTTTCTTATTTTTAATTTTTATTATTTGTATTTATATTAATTTGATTATTATTTATAATAATTATATAATTCAAAAAATGATGAAAAATTAAAAAAAAACTTGATTCAATGCAAATATTAAACTACAATAACTCAAAATAAAAATTAATACTAATTTAAAAACACTAAAATTAAAAGAAAATACAACATAAACTAAAATAACAATTTAGCATTCCGGTATATTAGTTCCGGATCCTCTAAGATCATCAAAATATTGAAAAGAACTAGAGCTATTTTTTTTTGTGGCATTTTATATTAGATGTAATGTTTTTTTTATATTAAATTCAATATTTATGTGATTAAATAAATGCTTAATTTTATTAAATTAATATAATTTTTAAAGTAATTATTATTCAATAAAAATATCATTCTCAATATTTAATTAATATATACAAAAATAATTAGTAAAATATATTAATTGTTGATTATTAATAGAAAGAAAAAGAAAGAGAATATTCTAAGAAATATTTTTTTTGGTGTAATATTTGACGCAATGGGTTGGAGATGTAATAGTAAAATATACCAAAAATTACACTAATTTAGTGTGAAACTTGCATTAATTTGGTGTTTATGGTTGGAAATGGTCATAGTGGAAATTATTGAATACTTGTCCAGATTATAGCTAGCTAGCTAGCTACTAACAGATTAAGTGAAAGTACTTCTGGTAAATACAAATACAGGGAAGCAAAAAGCATTTTAAATATACCTTAAAGCAATCAATATAATTGCCATTAATATTCTCAATACATCCCAATATTAAATGTAGTGTGAGAGATGGACGAAGAAAATAAAAACAAAAAAGTTTCCCTGGTTATTCACATGAATATTTTTGTGTACATTGATTGTTTCAATTCTTTCAGCTAAGTTGAAACAAAAAGGAACATATAGAACATGCATGACCTCAACTCGCTAGCTCTTTTTTTGTTTGCTTCTCCTCGTGACCATATTTTATTATTTATTTATTATATCTACAGGTGGAAATTATTATTATTCTTTCATGTATATTGATATTATACACTGAGGAGAAAGGTTCAATTCTTTGCTATAATAGATGATTCACAACACCACCAGGTCCACCACCACCACCACCGAGAACCTAATCATCACGCTGTTCCCTTTGCATATATATAGCTACTGAAAACCATGCCAAGAGCTAAAATATGTTACGGATGGGAAATTATGATAGTGTTTTATAGAAAAAGTCTTTGATATTACAAACATGTAACGGAAATTCCATCTAACTATAATGTTTATCAGAATAATAACATAACTAGTATATATAACGAATAGATCTTGGGCTTGTTTGATTGACATCTTAGTAGCCTGAAATGTGTATTGACGTTTTCAAATGACATCAGATAATCTATGACTAGATTCTGATATATATTAGTTGTTAGGATCAAACGCTTATTACACTAAGCTAAAAAGTTACAACTATTAGTACTGACACAATCTTATTTCCTTAAATCATTTGTCTTGCACCCACAGTTTTAGGTGACACAATCCCTTGACCTCCATCATGACAAAATATTGGCCTATCTACTCAACGATATATGATATATCTCGATCGTTTGCAATTCTATTAATTAACATAATTTGAGTCTCGAGAAGAAAAAAAAAAAAAAAAAAAGTAAAAAACATTAAACCAGTATAACAACGTAACCTAATTATATCGAATACTTAACATATTATGCGTAGTTCCCTTGAGGCCCACTACAATTTCACCATAAAGTTCCAACAGATCAAATCGATCCATTCGGGAACACCTTGTGGTGAACAGGAATCCATGAGTTGCTATCATAGCAAGCTCTTGTATATGATATGTATGGTCAATTTATACATACTATGCTAGCTAGCTTTATACACTTTATATATATATTTTTTTCTTTTTTAATATTCTCTCTAGAAAGTCCGGAGACAATGTAAAGGCATATAGGCAAATTCAATTTCCCAGTTCCCAAGCTGTGTCAAGTGGGATTTTAGCTGTAACATGGTATGGAGAGCAGAAATAAGAGCCCACCACACCTCCACTGTGATGAATTTGTTGCCTCAAATATATGCTATATGCAAGTGTAGCATTGTCCCACAATACTATTTTTTGATGACAACAACACGTGTGAGTTGGATTCTTTCAGGTTCTTAAGTTTCAGGAAACCCCACACAAAGGGTTACTGATGAGTTGTGTGCATGTGGGAACTTGCAGTAGTCCTTAAAAAAAGTTCAAAAATCGAATTGCTTCGTATCCAGGAAGACACTTTCACAGAAAGCTATAGCTAGCTCCTTTGTCCTGACGTACTGATGATCTTAATTTGAACATTATTATTCAAAATAATACAAATTTTAATTTGTACCACTGATTTAATGAATTAACCTTTTCTTTCAATCACTAATCTTATCTTAAATGAATTTTATCACGAACAGTTTTTTTCGTTTTTTAATCAAGGCTTCAATGATTAATAACAGG